ATCTATCTATCTATCTATCTATCTATCTATCTATCTATCTATCTATCTATCTATCTATCTATCTATCTATCTATCTATCTATCTATAGGCTAACATTTGATTGTTCTCGCTCTCCGTAGTTCCCCTGTGGCGCGCCTTTAGCTAGCATGCGCGTTTCCTGTCGCATGCACGGTGAATCGTGCCGCCTGCGCTGTGCGGAGATGCAGGGGAAACCGTATCTGATGGGGAAACGCAGCTCGACGTAACAGCAGTATTTCCATGTGGAAAACGCTGTTTTGCTGCGGGAGTCCTCCTGACTCTCCATCTCTCTGTGTGTGCTGTACGTTAACACCCGCCAGCAGAAACACCCACCTACCCAACTGACAGACGGAATCTCACTATACATCAGCCATTGTCATCCTCCCCTCTCTCGTGACAAGGCGCGCACGAGTCCTATCATGGAAAAAGGTTCATTGTGTGACCTGAGTAACGCGCAGTAACGCCGTTACTCCAATCACTGCTGCTTACTGACCCTATATCTGCTAAACCTGTCAGGACACCAAACCCGGCGTTCCACAAAGGTCTGTCCTTGGCTCAGCTTTGTTCTCCCTCTTTATGAACTCATGGATGGACATCAGCTCACCCGGTACGCTGATGATGCAATGAACTAAACAAAGAACATGGAAAATGTTTCAGTGTTTCTCAAACCATCATACTGAACCAACAGTTCAAATGTTTTCCACCAGAGAACAGTGGTCCTAACCCAACGCTGTCTTTAAAGCCCCATAAAGATTCTAAAATCTAATAGGAAGAAATAATTTCCCTCCTATCGTCAGCGGGTCACTCATTTCCCACATTATACAACGTTTTCATAAAAAGGTCCTAAAAACACTAGAAAACAACCTTAATCCATCCATTCCTGCCACATTCTGAAAGGACAGGTTATTAGACTGGACTTAAACATGAATCTAAACACCTGATCAGCCACTGATCTGATAACAGAAGTCATGAAACCTTTTAAAACATCAACAGGAACAAGATGGGACCCTGCAGGCGCAGTTCTGACTGTTCTAGTTGGAACCGCCTGATAACAGAACCTCTAAAGCTCAGAATCACCTTCGCTCACATTCATTCAATAATTAGAACAGTTTTATCATTTTCAGCGTGTTTTATTTGAGAGTTTGAAATGAAAGGTTTGAATGTGATGAAAAAGGGTTAATAGGTGTTTTTGTTTCCTGAGAGAAAACTGATGGAAATGAGCGTTTAGCAACAAGCCTGCATGTTTTTATTCATGTGTTCATTAGCATGAGTCCCAATTAAAGAAACAAACAAACCAATAAATTAATTCATTTCAAGCTATGAGATTCTTAAAAACAAGACGCTAAGGATCACCTCCAGAGTAACGTTCACATAAGCAAAAAGCACTTAATCTGAAACTGATATATGGCTGAAGAAAAATCATTTGAGGAAAATAAATGTTTGTTAGAAGCTTTAAATCAAAGGATTTTATAAAACGAACCAAGAAGCCTGTGAACCAAAACTGATTATTAATGAGGATGAAGCAGTGAGAGAAAACAGGAACCAAAGCAGACAGGAAGCGACGCTGCAGCGCTAAAGAAGTGAAGCCAAACATCTGTGGCTGCAGAGCTCATCATCATCATCATCCTTCCTCACACTGAGGAACAATCACAGCCCATAAAGAAGAAAGCAGACCTGAATGTGGCCTTGGAGGAAAATATCTCCGGTATCAGAACCCTCTGGATTGATACAGAAATATAAAACTAATTGATTTGATCTGATCCTGCTTTGCAAACAGAAGTTATGTTTGTCTGAGCATCAGAATAAATGTGATGAATATAAATAGATGCAGCGGAGGATAATATGTGCAGCCGTCTCCTCACATCTGGAAGCAGCAACATTGTTAACAGATAAATGATCTGTTCCAGCAACATTTAAAGCGTTACGTTGGACTGAATCAGCTCCATGTTGCTGCTTGGCTTAGGAGGCAGATCACGATCCGGGGAGCAGGATCCCCTGGAAGAGACGGAGATAAAGAGACATGCCGCCGTCTGGCTCCTGAACCGGGAGGCTGCAGCGATCAGAAACTGGCATCATAAAGTCATTAGCTGATGCAAATGAGGACGCCTCTGGCAGCAGAACTGGTCTCTGATTGTTTTTAAACATTTTATGATAAAACAGAGGCCAACATCTGGACAGGAGACAACTAACCCGGGCTGCCTTGTTCTGGGGGGCAACAGGAAGCTGACCCTGTGAGGAGCTGGAGGAGAGTCAGAAACGTTCAGATAAAAACTGAATTAATGAAGCAAAGAAACCTGGAAGATCCAAATTTCAAGGCCAGAAAACCTCTTCTTTTTGTAACTTTGTATCGTCCACCAGGTCCTTACTCTGAATTTTTAGATGAGTTTTCAGAGTTCCTTTCTGATTTGGTATTAAATACTGACAGGGTCATCATAGTGGGAGATTTTAACATCCATGCTGACATTGAAGGCGATAGCTTAAGAGCAGCCTTCAACGCTATCTTAGACACTATTGGCTTT